CGAACGGTAGATATACAATGTTGGACTGGCTTTGAATGATTTGAGGGGTCATAAACTCTCCAACGAGCATGTTTCCTTCATCTTCTTCCCCTCTTTCATTGGCCTGTATAACAAGATTGTGTTGTACATTCTCCATCTGATTTCTCGCTGCTCTGTTTTCTCTCTGCCCTCTACTTAAGCTTCGTTCGATCTCTGGATCGGCTGGGAATAGATCTCCTTCATCAGATCTTGGCATGCACTTCTGCAAGAGAATTCAATTTAAACACTTAAATAACTAAAATATGCACTTAAGTAATAAAATTAAATAAGCAATAAAATAAAATGAACTAAAATAAAATTATAAATAAAAAGTTCGAATTAGTGCTAAATTGAATAAAATTAAACGAATACTCAATCCCCGCAACGACGCCAAAAACTTGTTCACGAAATAATTCTTTCGATTTAAAACTACCGCAAGTGTACGGATCGTAATAAATAATAAAGTGGATTTTTAAAAGTCCGAATATCGTCCCACAGAGATTGAGTAGTTCAATTCTATATAATTTAGCTTTAACCGAATCTAATTGAGTGAAAATATGATCGAAATGCAAAAGGCCCTAATTTCAATTAAAAACCCTAATTTCTCAATTAGAAACCCTAATCTCGAAATTTCTCTAATTAAACGACTCAAACACTCAAGTAAATGAAATTATGCAAATTCAAAAGCTAATTTATGGAAATGAATCAAAATAAAGTCACTAGGATCACAAATCCCCAATTGAAGCTATAAAAACCCTAATTTCATAAAATCAATGACCCGATGGAAATTTGTCAATTCATTGTTCCTAAATCTATCCAACATATTCTCTCGATGTATATTAGACCTATTCTTGCACACCACCAGCCTATATCTTTATGAATGATGCAAATATACAAGAATGCATGTGATTTTGTGAACAATTAGAGAATTGCATAAAGCATAGGGGTAAATCTCTATCCCCTATTGGACCCTATGTTGATTTACACCTTATCGAACCTATTTCACTTCTCTTGAATGTAAGAAATAAATCATCAACACTCACATAATCATTGGCCACTAATTACGGAAGAAAATCAATGCATATAAACCAATCAAATTATCCAAACGAGTCTTTATATTAAATTCATGAAATATGGAATTAAAATAACAAAAAATGGTTCATCGATCACCTAGTAAATTGAAAACCTAGCCTAGAATATTCATAATTATAGAATAAAAAATGAAATTAATAAATTGAAAGAATAGCACCCGTGTGAAAATTTCTTAAAATCTTGAATAAAACCTTGAAAACCCGCTTGAATTCTTGTGGAATCGGCTTCAAGATCGTGTTTCTTGCCTCCAAAAGTTGTAATTTTCTTCTCCCTGAACGTTCTACCCTATTTCTGATGAATTTGGACTTTTATATCATGTCCTCACGAAACCCCGAAAGAGTTTCAATTAAAAACGCAAGTTCAGAATTATTTTTTTTATTTTTATAGCCATGCGACCGCATGGTTCAAGTGAACTGCCTCTATGAAATCCCTGCAACCTTATGTGCGGCCGCATGGTTGTAACTTTCAACCTTGCTGTTTTGGTCCCTGAACTTCGTTTTCTCTTTTCTTGATCTCTTTTCTTTCTTTCATTTGTTCCATCATCAAATATTGACTCCTAATTGATGTTTGGGTCAATCAATTCATTGATCACTTGCTCAGCTCATCTTTTGATTATTTGCAATTTAGTCCTTTCATCTTTCACTTTTCTTCAATTCAGTCCAATATTACTTCTTTCTTCCTCCGATCGTCTTATATCGTCCTCAATCTCATACTTGGCATATTTTCATTCTAGTTCTGCACTTTAGCTCGACTTTTCAATGTTTGCACCTTTGGTCCCCGAACTATCGCTTTGTTTCGTTTTGGTCCTTTTCGGCTCTTTTCTTCTGAATTCCATCTTTTTCATAGAAACACCTAGATTGCATGAATTTAATGAGATTAAGTCACAATTCAATTACTTTATCCATGTTTAAGTCATGTTTGTGAGCTAAATAAGTGTGTAAAAACACACTTATCAACATGTATTAATGTAGATCATAAAACGGTTAAAACTATTATTTTCTGGGAATATCAAATTGTAAGAGATCCATGGTTAAGGTACTGACATTAAAAGTGATAAGATGACCACTATGCAATCGCATGCACTGTATTAGCAACTAAATGACTTCAAGGAAATATTAATGAACAAAAAGTGCAAGCAATGACAAAAATAATTTGAGCAATTTTGTATTTATTTATTTTTAAATTTTGGAATTAAATAAATCCAAATTTGGCAAGCTAGTACTTTTGATCTACGTAAAATAATAAAGCAAGAGTCAAATGCTAGTCAACAACTTAATCACGTAAAATAAGTGAGATAAAAGTGAAAATATAATAAGTCAGGAGATTTAACAAGTCCAGATATTTAGTCAAGTGAATTTTAGGTAAAACTTAGAAATACAGCAACACAAAGAAGTAATCGATGCAAGTTTAAAATAAACAATAATATAAATCGAAAATAAATAAACAGTAACTACCATTTTTGTTCGCTGAAGTAACTAAGCCGAGAAATAAGATAAAAAGAGGTACATGGAAAATAATGCTAGAAATAATTTTTCTTATTTTTTATTTTTCTTTTCCCTTCTGAGCCCAAATCACAAACTAAGGGCATAGATTAAACTAGAGGTCCAACACCATGAGGTCGATTGTGTCCGGAGATACGGGGTTGCCGAATTTATGTGAAAATCAGTGTCGATTGGCTTTTGGATGCTTGATTGGCGATGATTATTGTTGGGTGGAGGCTTTCAAAGGTTGTATTGGTTAGGTAGTGACGCGAGATGGGTTGGTGTATGCACGGGATGGGCTTTGAGAATAAACATGTCGATTATGTGGTAGCTAGGATTGAACAGTGATTTGATGTCGTCTCTTTGGTTGGTGAAGAAGACGGCGGTTGCAGCAAGCGAAGGTGATTGTGGTGGCGGTTTGAATCAATTTTTTTTTTGGTTGGATTTGTTGGTTGTGCACAATTGCAGGAGCGGTTGGGTTGTTGTGGTTTACTAGAAATATTTGGCGAGGTTATAGTTGGTGGTTCATGTTGGCGGAGTTTTTGGAGGTGGAGGATAGTGGGTTGATTTTAAACAAACCTTTTGGTGAAGTTGTTGGAGAGACTGACAATTGGGGTAGCAGACGTGGTGGTGGATGATGATCGGATGTAATAAGCTTGGTTGAACAGCGTTTAATGAAGGAAATCAAGTTTTGGAAAGATGACAGGAGTGGGTTTTGTAGCAACGGATTTGATTTAATGGTGGTAATATTATTGATATACAGAACCCAATAATATATAGAGAACGTAGAGTGCAAAGCCAGCTTTGTTTGACAAACTTGCTTAATTAGGAGAGTGAAGTATACTTTGATGGAGAATCAAATTCAAGCAATCAATCTAGAATTAAATCATAGACAAAAAACAGCAGAGGAAGAATTCCAGTGAGAAGAAGAGAAGAGGATGCAGAAAATAGCAAAAGAAGAAGAGAAGAAGCAATGATAGAAGGAATGGAGAAGATCGGAGAAAGAGAAATCAAAGAGAAGGGGAGGAAGGGGGAAGCTGTTATGGTTGGGCTTCAGCTTCCACCAAAACTCAACCAATAACCAATAATCAATAACCAGGGGAGTTCAATTGCAGTAATATTCAACCAATAACCAGCAGTAATAAACACAAGATAACCAGCAGCAGAGACACAAGATACAGAATATATTTTGTAATTGCTCAAAGTGAGAACATAAACTGAAATTACTAACAATAATCAGTTAATTTCCAATCCAAAATCAGCCATTCATTCCATTAATTGATGATTCAATTACAATGTAGTTCAGTTGATTACAATGGATTGTAATTAAAAGACAAGTTTAACAGATATAGAAATAGACCTGCTGGGAAGGGAAGTGAAGAATAGACTAAGGGTAGAAGAAGAAAGCAGAAGAACGGAGAAGAAGAAAGCTGGAGAAACGGAGAGGAAGAGATGAAGCAGGAAAAGAGCTTACCAAAGGGGAGAGAAATGCAGAAAATAGAGAAGAAGAAGAAGAAGAACCGAAAGAACCATAGAAGAGGAAGAGAGGAGGTAGACGGCAGCAAACCACCACAATCAATTCAACATTCGACCCCCCTCCAAATGCACACATACAACTACATATAGACCCAAACAACAACCCTAATGAGACTAGGCTAGCCCACTTAAATAAAATAAACTAAAGGGTCCAACCCATGACATCCCTTCTCCTTAAATTAACCTTGTCTTCAAGGTTCAAAGTCAGGATGTTTTCTTTAGATGAAGTTAGCACCGCCTCATTCTTTTCACCACCTTTGGATTAAGCAAGTAGTACAATGTGGCATATTCCTGGTTGACATGACCCGCATCACTCTTTTCACCCTTCAGTAAGAAATTATTATTGGCTTGCCAAGATGCAGCAAATTGAAAAGTGCGCTCTTGAATATTATTTGATGATTTTTCATCGTCAATGCTTGTCTGTAACTCAAAACCAAAGTCAACGTGAATAGTGATTCCAACTATTTCATTCTCTTTACGTGGATTTTTCAATCGTCCTCGAATCACCACGTGTTGATAAAAAGAAGCAATGAATTGTGAATTTTTAGCAAGTTCAAGTCCAAAATTGAAGGATGGGCTCAATGGACTCCCTGATCCTAATCCATAAGCAATAGTACAACTCCAATTTACCAGCTTTTTGTATTTTGTTCCATCTTTGCTTCCAAATTTTGGTTCATATTCCACCCCAGCAGTCAAACTTCCCATCTTGCTTAGTAACCAGCAACAGCAGCAACCAAATCAACATGCACATCATCTACTGGCTTCAGCCTAATCTTGATGCTAAAATGCCTCGCTTCTTCAAAGTACTCCTCAAAAAGGCATCTCAAATCCAATTTCCCAAACAATAAGTTGTATGAAGATTCTATGAGGAGATCTCCATCCTTATCAGCACAAATTTTCCCCAGCAGTCTTTCAAACTGATCTGCACTGTGTTTAGATCTGTGCACATCAACACTAAAACTCTGTGATGAGCTTTTATAGAGCTTATCCAACTTTTCTCTCCAACTTGCTGCTTCATCGCCCTTAGGTATAGGTTCAGCAAAGATCAATTTTCCTAGTTTTTTGTATGTTTCTTCACATTTTTCCAAGGATATCAGTTTGATTCCAAGAGCAACAGTAAACATTCTGCCTGTAGATGTTCCACAGCTAAGGTCAAAAAGTTCGTGTATCTGCTTTACAGTACCCTTCTCGATTTCTTTTAAAATCTTTTGTAAGCTGGGATTCAATAACCTAGATGTGGGAGAATCAGTTACAATTTCAAGATTATCTTCCACAACACTAAAATGGATCGAAGCTACAGAAAGTCTAGGCATACTCCTTGCTGGCTTAACTGAATGGGCACTTGAATACTCCTCTGCACTAGTACATTCATCAACAGCTTCTATGGATCTTGCTATTTCAGAAGAGCTAGGGTCCAAAGGAAGCTTCGACTAAATATATTCATGATCTTTGAAATCTTCAATTGGATTATCCATTCTTGGTAAATTAGCAGATAGAAAATGCATATGTTCCTGCCCAACCTCTGAATTGCATACCTCAATAACTTGTGGCCACTTTCACCGGAACTAGATTGCGGACCATTAATAAATTCAACAGAAACTGCTTCAGATGTACCATCATTTGGTGGGATAATACTCTCCTCTTCCAATTCCTCCTATTGTTCCTCTTTGGAGGCTGATTTACGCTCAATAAATTCAGTCATCATTGAAATTTGTAGATCATGCTTCCTATTAATTTCTTCCATTATGCCATCCAATCGAGAGACACCCAAGGATTGTAGCTGCTCTGATACCATTTGTTATGGTTGGGCTTCAACTTCCACCAAAACTCAACCAATAACCAATAAGCAACCAATAATCAATAACCAGGGGAGTTCAATTGCAATAATATTCAACCAATAACCAGCAGCAATAAACACAAGATAACCAGCAGCAGAGACACAAGATACAGAATATATGTTGTAATTGCTCAAAGTGAGAACATAAACTGAAATTACTAACAATAATCAGTTAATTTCCAATTCAAAATCAGCCATTCATTCCATTAACTGATGATTCAATTGCAATGCAGTTGATTACAATGGATTGTAATTAAAAGACAAATATAACAGATATAGAAATAGACCTACAGGGAAGGGGAGTGAAGAATAGACTAAGAGTAGAAGAAGAGAGCAGAAGAACGAAGAAGAAGAAAGCTGGAGAAACGGAGAAGAAGAGGAGAAGCAAGAAAAGAGCTTACTAGAGAGGAGAGAAATGCAGAAAATAGAGAAGAAGAAGAAGAAGAACCGGAAGAACCATAGAAGAGGAAGAGAGGAGGTAGACGGCAGCAAACCACCACGATCAACTCAACAGTCGACCCCCCTCCAAATGCACACATACAACTACATATAGACCCAAACAACAACCCAAATGAGACTGGGCTAGCCCACTAATACAAGCCCACTTAAATAAAATAAACTAAAGTGTCCAACCCATGACAGAAGCCCTAGCCAACAAACCAAGTATTTTCATATTCTTCAACTNTGCCTGTAGATGTTCCACAGCTAAGGTCAAAAAGTTCGTGTATCTGCTTTACAGTACCCTTCTCGATTTCTTTTAAAATCTTTCGTAAGCTGGGATTCAATAACCTAGATGTGGGAGAGTCAGTTACAATTTCAAGATTATCTTCCACAACACTAAAATGGATCGAAGCTACAGAAAGTCTAGGCATACTCCTTGCTGGCTTAACTGAATGGGCACTTGAATACTCCTCTGCACTAGTACATTCATCAACAGCTTCTATGGATCTTGCTATTTCAGAAGAGCTAGGGTCCAAAGGAAGCTTCGACTAAATATATTCATGATCTTTGAAATCTTCAATTGGATTATCCATTCTTGGTAAATTAGCAGATAGAAAATGCATATGTTCCTGCCCAACCTCTGAATTGCATACCTCAATAACTTGTGGCCACTTTCACCGGAACTAGATTGCGGACCATTAATAAATTCAACAGAAACTGCTTCAGATGTACCATCATTTGGTGGGATAATACTCTCCTCTTCCAATTCCTCCTATTGTTCCTCTTTGGAGGCTGATTTACGCTCAATAAATTCAGTCATCATTGAAATTTGTAGATCATGCTTCCTATTAATTTCTTCCATTATGCCATCCAATCGAGAGACACCCAAGGATTGTAGCTGCTCTGATACCATTTGTTATGGTTGGGCTTCAACTTCCACCAAAACTCAACCAATAACCAATAAGCAACCAATAATCAATAACCAGGGGAGTTCAATTGCAATAATATTCAACCAATAACCAGCAGCAATAAACACAAGATAACCAGCAGTAGAGACACAAGATACAGAATATATGTTGTAATTGCTCAAAGTGAGAACATAAACTGAAATTACTAACAATAATCAGTTAATTTCCAATTCAAAATCAGCCATTCATTCCATTAACTGATGATTCAATTGCAATGCAGTTGATTACAATGGATTGTAATTAAAAGACAAATATAACAGATATAGAAATAGACCTACAGGGAAGGGGAGTGAAGAATAGACTAAGAGTAGAAGAAGAGAGCAGAAGAACGAAGAAGAAGAAAGCTGGAGAAACGGAGAAGAAGAGGAGAAGCAAGAAAAGAGCTTACTAGAGAGGAGAGAAATGCAGAAAATAGAGAAGAAGAAGAAGAAGAACCGGAAGAACCATAGAAGAGGAAGAGAGGAGGTAGACGGCAGCAAACCACCACGATCAACTCAACAGTCGACCCCCCTCCAAATGCACACATACAACTACATATAGACCCAAACAACAACCCTAATGAGACTGGGCTAGCCCACTAATACAAGTCCACTTAAATAAAATAAACTAAAGTGTCCAACCCATGACAGAAGCCCTAGCCAACAAACCAAGTATTTTCATATTCTTCAACTCATCAACTAAGTCTTGCTCGTTCAATAACAACATATAAATAGCCAAATAAACAAACTTAAAGTAAACAAAAAAGGGCTTGGGCCAACCCATAATACAATCCCAATAGAAAGCACAAGAAAAATAGTCCCAAGTCTTGCTCGTTCAATTACAACATATAAACAGCCAAATAAACAAACCTAAAGTAAACCAAAAAAAAAGGTCTTGGGCCGACCCATAATATAAACCCAATAGAAAGCACAAGTAAAATAGTCCAAAGCAAAATAATATGGCCGAACAGGGTGATGACCTCATCACTTCGAACCTTTCATTTTTGTAGCACTTGAACTCCCTGACGTTTCAATCCAAGAAGTCCATTACCACTCTGAAAACATATTCAAGACTTCAATTTTCATATTCAGCATATTGTAATTATTAGTCTTACTATTAGTATGTATTTTTCGTATCTTTCTAACTATACAAAAAAAATCAAAATGCCTGAAGATTTCTTATTGTAACAAGTGAGACTATCAATCATAGCACACCTCACGAAATAGGAACTCCATATCACTCCAAATTCATAAGACTCAAACGTTGAGCCCTTCTTTCTTTGGTTTTCTGCTCTTCCATGGTATAACTTGCTTGAAACCTTCATATATAGCAGCCTGAAAGTAGAAGAAGAAATTATTTTAATTAAAAAGGTGGATCAATGAACTCGATTATATAATAAAGAAAATATTTACTTAATTTTCTTTCTCTATACCATCTGGTCCTACATGCTATTAAAGGTATGGGCGGGCTGGTCATTTTTAACGTCTTAAAATTCCTTCTTTTTGTTTTGTAGGAGCCATGAATACTCTTATGATTGATATTCTATGCTCAGATGATTCCAACCTTACTGCCACTGAATTAGAATAATGGAAATTACATATAATTAAATAAATGAAAACTTATAGAATTAATTACTGAATATTGTGCCTATGTGCTGCTACTTTGGATTTATACCATGAAGAAACTGGACAATGGTAAAGAACATACCCAGAGGTGAGATTTTGCTTGATGGACACTGGAAAAACTTCCATTTCTTCTCATATTTCCCTTTTGCACCCTTGCACTCTCATCAACTTCTCTTTTTCCACCCTTCCTTTGACCCCAAGTACCAAAAAAGCCTCTTCCTTTGTGCTCTTTCTTGCCAAGAACCATGGTATCAAGTTCGTCTCTCTCAGGACTTGTGCTACTGGTACTGTCAAAGGAATCTTGGCGCTCCCTAAAGAATCTAAGAGAAGAAAACTTCGGTCTACTGGCCACATAGGGTCCATCCAAGACTGTGATGGGAGAGGGTGTTTTGGTAATTTTGGGGGTGGATTCCATGTATAGCCTAGGAGGGAGCTCTAAGAACTTGGGTTCTATAGTGTCAATGGGGCTGGACGGGGAGAAGAGAATCGAGCAGGGCCGAGGTTTTCCGGGCTCCTCCTCCCATTTGAATGGCACCGATGCTAAAGTCTGCAGTGGTGGTGTCTCTGCCCCAGGATGCTCCGGTGACTGCATGACTCGTGCAGACAACTTCGGAAGTCGAAACTTATATGACCTGAAACTTCTCTCTGATTCACACTCTAATCCCATGATTATCTGTTTATATGTGAGAGAGGTCCTAGGACACCAAAACGTAGAACAATGAACGATGAAAGTCAACAACAATTCGATAACGACGACCTTAAGAAAGGTTTGAGCTATCTGATAGCAGACCACATAAAGCTGGTTGCTCGCCTGGTCTACCCTTACTCTGAACCCCTTGGCTCACTTGTGTGAGACTGTGAGTGAGAGGGGGAGAGAGCGTGTGAGTTGTGTGATGAAGGTAGATGATTTTATATGGGGCTTTTGTATATGTTGACAAGAATAAAGCAGCAGACGTCTAGATGATTACGCTGATCTATTCCTTGATCAACTTTGACATTTATGAAAGACTAAATACAGCCAAATATTTTGTGCTTTCGGTTATTTGACTCAATTAACTGAGACTTCACACTTAATTGTAGTACTGATATTATGCTGCTACATAATTTGCCTTGAAAAAATGTTACAAAATAGTCTCAATTGTTTTAGCTACCCTGTATCGATCGAGCTTTTGCATAAAGGACGATGTCGTAGTAAATTAACTGTCATCCTCTGTTCGTTTTGATCGTTAAGCAAACATAAGTCGAGCCAGTTCAAATAAAAGACAAGAGTGATGATTTTTATGATGAAGAGAACTAGATAATTCAATTTAGAACAATTAATTAAATAAACTTTGATTATCAAGAACCACAGCCTCTTGCAATAAGTTGTCAAAAAGCGGTCCTCTTGTGCATTTTCAAATTAAAGGCGGCTATGACCTTTTCTATCATTGGGACACTGAATTTTAGAATTTTGAAGCTGCTTTATTAAGAAACAAAAGATGAGTTGAATAGAGAATCTTTTTCTTTTTTCTTTTTTTCATTTGAAATGCTAATAATCATTTAAAAAAAAATACTATCTATGATCTTTTATCTTAGTTTGCTCCATTGGAATCCATTGTTTTGGTCAGTTTTACAAATTCAAATGCTATAATCAATCCGTTGCAAATGTAAATGATAAAGTGTGTGTCATAATTCAGGAGGATATTATTTGTCTTGCACTTTGACGTCGGGAACTACAAAAAGTAGTGTTACAATCATTATGCAGTCGTCCACCGTCCTGACCTTTATCTGGATATCAGGAGACTGGATTTGGGCCAAGTTAAGCCTCACCCAACAATAATATCAGCCCATGTCGGAGGGTCTAGAGTGAAGACCCAATAGGCCCGAGTCCCTAGACAGACGGCATATCATCAGGTGGAAATTACATGCCAACAGGTGTGAAATTTACTTGTTCACAGATCATGTATTAATTTAATTTTATATATATATATAATATTATTCTAAAATCGTCCCACATCCACTATCCAAACCCTAAATTAATTCCCATTCGTATCTTTATCACCGATGACTTCTCTTCCTCTCTACATTTTTTTCTTCTTCATAATACACCTATGGCAACGACTCTCTCCACCATTTTTTTCTTTTCATTGCTCACAGGCATCCCATCGTTGTGAGTGCCACTTCTTCTTTGCTCACGACGTCGCTTCGCACCGCAGGCGACGATCTAAGCAACATCGTTACGACCTACTGTAAACAGCCACTTCTCTGATAACTCCAATGCTTCCATTTCCAACAGTCGCTTCTTCAATGCCTCTACTTCGATGTGATGGCACCCATTCCCAAGGCCTCCAGTCTATTCTCTGTTCTTAGTGCATTTGAGGTGGTGGTGGTGGCAGCAGCGAGTTTAGGGATTTTGTTGTTGGGTGGTGGTTGTAGTGTGGTGGAGATGGAGATGGGGATGGGGATGGAGGTTCTCCATTCCCTGTGATTGCTGTTGGTTAGTTTATGGTAGATTTTGAGGTGGTGGTAGCTGTTCTGACTATAGCAGCACTTGGAGCGTAACTGATCTGTGTGCTATGGCATTGGCGAATCCGCAATGATTTTATGTTGTTTTGCAGTGGTTTATGGTGGTTATGTAGCGATTTTGTGGTGGTGTTGTCAATGTTCTGTTGTGGTTTTGTTGGATTTTAACCAACTTAAGAGTGGTCCACATATCCCATGTCCCACTATGAAAATAGTTAACCTTTTAAAATCATGTTTGATAACCACCCATAATCTGAGGACGTACATAACCACTCTGTGATGGGAAGAGCATTTTAAAGGCGTTGAGATCCATTCGGAAGGTCTCTAATCTCATTTTCACGTTCAGTCTGTATACATCATCTAAGCAGTGAGAAAGTGGGCTTAGAAGAGCCTTAACCCGAAGTTAAACACCACCTACAAGTTTGAGAAAGTGTGTGAACAACGACAATGGTGGGAGGTATGTTTTTCGATCCAATTTATTCCGCATTGATCTAAATACTATTTTGTTGATTAAAGCATGTTTAGATCGCTTAAGTAGACTTTACATTTGGTATCAGAGCTTTCGTTTTGTCTCTGCCTTGTTTGTTCTTAACCTGCACACTCTCTGTTAAAAAACATGCTTTTCGATTTGGTCGTTTTTATGGAAACTGAGATTAGAAATCATTAAGAAATTGATTTCTAAGAATTTTGATATAAAATTTGCAAAATTTGGTGGTCTGAATCATGAGATATGACCAAGTTTTTCATTTGGGTTGGAACCGAGTCGTTTCGACCCGGCAGGAAGTTGAAGAAAACATATATATTGGCTTCCTTGTCTTTTACTTATTACAATGTACAAGAATGGTTTTGTTTTAACCATTAGTTTCTAGCCGGAGGCCCACGTGCCTGGAATAAAGCTGCCAACTTGCATGAAATTGTATAAAGGTTGCCAACTTGCATGAAATGGAATATAAGGCTGCCAACTAGATTGTTTAATATTATTATTAGTTTAATAAAATTTGGACCTGCACATGTACCAGCTGAAATTTTTGAAATTGTATCATTTTGTAGACCCATGTGCTAGAAATTAATAAGAATTATTTGGTGGTTTGTTTTCACATGTCCTGAACTTATTTATTTATTATTTTTATTTTTTATTTTTTTTGTATGTATAAATTTTGTAGTTTATTATGCATACATTATTAGGTTAAACAATTTTTACACATTAGAATTAATTCTAATAAAATGTTCTTTATGAATTTAATGTGGATATTTATTTGCTAGTTTATTATTTTATTCATGCAATATTTAAGTTGAATAATATTAGTACATTAGTGTCCGATTGTATTGCTTATGGTTTAGCAATAGTTTGAGTCTAAGAATTTACTCAATGTTTGGTGATCCATATAGTTTTAATTAATTAAGGAATAGCCACGGCATCTTTAATTAATTGAAATTATATATTAAGGTTCATTTGGGATCACATTTGGAGAATAAACATTAATTGTGAGTAATCATACTTGATATGGTAAATTTTATATATTATCGTATTATGTGTGATTAATTAGGATAAAATATCAAACTATATTTTCTAATTTGCCCACAGAAATTAGAAAATGGAACATAATTTGATAGTTTTATTGTGAAGTTAAGATGAATCTAATTGAATTAGAACTTTAGCCCACAGGCAAGTTTATGTCACAAGATTCATGTTTTGCATGTTTTTACATTGGAAAAACATGTCATATGTTATTTTAGCGTCAAATTTGTAACACGAGCATGAATGTTTGATTTATTGCAACAAGTCAACCTGTTAATTTCTCTGATATGAAATGTGATGTTCCTGAGCTAAAAGGGGACAATTATAAGGTCTGGAAGGAAAGAGTTTTCCTTCACTTGGGATGGATGGACATTGATTACGCCATAAGGAAGGTGAGCCCCCTACAGTAACTGCTACTAGCACTCTAGAGGAAGTTCAACTTTATGAAAAGTGGGAGCGATCTAATCGCCTCTCCGTTATATTCATAAAGATGAAAATATCTGCTGGTATTAGGGGCTCCGTCAAGCAGTATGACAAAGTCCAAGATTTGCTTAAGGTCGTTGACGAACAATTTGTCACTTCAGATAAAGCGATGGCCAGAACCCTCATTATGCAGTTTTCATCCTTGAAGCTCACTGGCATTAAGGGTGTGCGTGGTCATATCATGTGCATGAGTGATATAGCAGCCTAACTCAAGGCATTGAAAGTTGAGATGTTTGAATCATTCCTGGTTCACTTTATCGTTTGCACTTTGCCTCAACAATATGGCTCGTTCAAGATCTCCAATAACACACATAAAGATAAATGGTCTATTAATGAGTTGCTGACCATGTGTGTTCAAGAAGAGGGCGGACTACTTAAGGAGGAAGGTAAGAAGAAAAATGTATATTTGACAACTCCAGGAAAGAAGAAGAAAGATCAGGCCAAGGACAAGGGGAAGGGAAAAATCCATCCTCAAAAGAACATTAAGAAGGAGATTGTGTGCTTCTTTTGCAAGAAGAAGGGGCAGCTTAAGAAGCAATGCTCCAAGTTCATGAAGTGGCTTGACAAAAAAGGTATTCAACTCTCACTTGTTTGTTATGAATCCAATATGATTGATATTAATCATAACACATGGTGGATTGATTCTGGTTCTACGATCCATGTGACCAATTCATTGCAGGACTTGCGAAACCTGTGAAAACTAGTGGGAAGTGAGCGTAGCATCTATTTAGGAAACAAGATGCCTTCGCATGTGGAGGCCATTGGCACGTGCAGATTGGTTTTAAGTAGTGGTTTTATTTTAAATTTAGAAAAGACCTTTTATATTCCCAATTATTCTAGGAATTTGATTTCAATTTCCAGACTTGTATCAGTTGGTTATTCCTTTAACTTTTCAGACTCTGGATTTAATTTATTTTATAAATATGATGTTATTGGATCTGGTACTTTGTCTGATGGTTTTTTTCTTATTAATTTGCAAAACGATGACAACCATACTACCATGCACGTTCATGAAAATATTAGTACTAAACGATGTGTTGTGAATGAAGAGTCTTCTATGTTGTGGCGTCGGAGATTGGGACACATCTCCATTGATAGAATTAAAAAGTTGGTGAATGATGGGGTACTTAGTACTCTAGATTTTACAGACTTTGAAACTTGTATAAACTACATTAAAGGAAAGCAGGCTAATAAGTCGAAAAAGGGTGACAAGAGAAGCTCTGATTTATTGGAAATCATACACACAGATATTTGTAGTCCAGCCATGGAAGCATACCATGATAAATACTTCATCTCTTTCATAGATGATTACTCACGATACATGTACCTCTACTCGCTTAACAGTAAAACTGAAGCACTAGATGCTTTTAAGGTATTTAAAGCTGAATTAGAGAAACAACGTGATAAACAAATTAAGATCGTGAGATCCGATAGAGGTGGAGAATACTATGGTAGATACACTGAGAGTGGACAAGCGACTGGTCCATTTGCAAGGTTTCTTCGAGAGAATGG